GGGGGTCAGCCACACCATTTGTACAATTTTAAATCCCTGCCTCCCAGGAATGCTTTTGATCAAATATGATTGATATCCAGTGCACAGTTCTACAGAAGAAGTCGTTTGTAGCAATATAGCCAAATGGCCCCCTTTTGGCCCCGCCCCTTAGCCCCCTGGGGGGTCAGCCCCACCATTTGTACAATTTTGACTCCCCACCACTTAGGGATGCTTCCAGTCAAATTTAGTTTAATTCCAACCAGTGGGTAAGAAGAAGAAGTCGTTTAAAGAAATTGTTGACGTACGGACGTACGACGGACGCCACGGTATGGCATAAGCTCACCTTGGTCCTTCGGACCAGGTGAGCTAATAAAATGCAGCCCAATATCTTAAGTAACACATTCATTGCAATATTTCAAATATTGATCTTTCCTGAGAGCTTTTTGCTCTCTCTTCACATGTCTCTGTAAAACTTGGTCTTAATCAAACAAATCATAATACGGTAAACCCTAGACCTGATAGAGGCAGAAACAAAGACCAATAAGAAAATGATGAAGTTTTCCAGGAGCCAACAAGTCTTTTTAAAACCAATACCTTTGGGAGTCAGTGACTGGGCTGTAGAGACGGGGGCAGGCACAACCACCCTAGCAGGGGAAGTAACTGTGTTTGTAGTGGCTGCCGTAGCGACAAGTCCAGGTTTCGGGGCTAGGGTGATGTTTGAGGAATTTGATGACTGTATTTGCTGCACAGCTGACCGTGGGATCTGGAACCGCACCAGTGAGCGACCAGGTGTTCCTTGGCTCCCTAATATATCGACCAAATTCAAAATTAATATACACAAAATAACTACCACAATAATATTTGATAAACTGTTGTGTCAATCTCTAATATTAACCCATCTTTTACAAAATTAAGATAACATTTATAACAGCTATGAATGCCATGACCCACATGCTGAGGTCATCATTATTATGATGTCATTATTTCAACGTTGAATACCACCGATACTCCCTTGAAGATGGCTGTTCTTATCACCAAGCAAGCATACCTGATATTCATCAACTTATTTGAATAGATTGCTGAATAAATAAGTGAATTTTCTAAGACTATGACATTTTAAAATATTTCAAATGGCAAATATAAGTACTGAGCCACTTTCAGTTGGCATTCAGACTATCTGAAAGGCAAATGGAAATGACAAATTTAACATGAAGTACTAGGAGGCTTCATGGCATTTGTAAATTCTACATGAAACTATGAATACAATCTAAAAACATTTGTATTTGAATGGTAGTTAGGTAAGAAAAAAGAAAAATTCTTAAATGTGATGAACCTTATTGATGGATCCTCTCAATGGTAGTAGCATTATACAAGTTTGACCAATTTTAAAAACATTTTATCATGAAAAAGAAAGAGAACATAAACACATACCTGCGATGATCGTTTTAGGCTGGACCTGAACAGTCTTGAGTATACTGGTGCCACCAAGGATTGAGTTTGAGGTGGTGGCTGGCTTGATGATGGTGCCACCTGCGGTGCTCTGTACTGTGGAGATAAGAGAGGTGGTACCTACTGCGGAGACAGTAACAGTAGATGTCGTGGTGGCGGTCGTGGAACCCTGCGACTCCATCATACGCTTTTGTTGCAGCGCAAGTCTCTGCTGTTTCAGCTGCATCTCCAGCTGGGCCTTCAGCTGCACGGCATTCACTGTCGTCTTCACGGAATCCTGGCTCGACTTCTCTTGAATTGCTGCCCTCTGTTTCGCTAACCTTCAAATAAATTTATTAAAATGAAAATTTTTTCAGACTTTCTGCAAAGTTCAATCATCAATCATTGAACATAGCCAGGGTCTCTCCATCTAAGCTTTATATAAATAACAACAAATCAATGCCTTGCTTCAAAAAATTAAATCATGAACAGATGACATCTTGTTGCTCTGGTCTGACCAAAGGAAAGTCATAGGTAGAATCAGTTTCTCAGACATGTGCACTGCACCGTAGCCTCTTGTTTCATTACACATGTATGTAACATATTACTATAGATCTTACTCGTGTTAGACCAGAGTCACTTCAGTTGATGATCAAATTCGACCATAATGATAATTGAATATTAAAACATTATTCTATCTTGCAAAAGAAAGCTGCCAAGTAGTAGTACAAATCTTTCAAAACTTTTAATCAGAACGGTGATATTGAATTTAGATTTTGAAACACCCATTCACACATAATGAAGGAAATTCTGATTACTTTTCTCCAAACTGTTTGATCTCCCAGAGTTCCAGTTCCTCCTCTGGCGTCCATGTTTCTGTTACGCTTGGTTCGGTCTGTTTAGGAGATTCTGCCCTCCTTCGTTCTCTTAGCCCACTTCTCTGTGGCGTGTACTTCTCTGTTGAATTCATGTAAAATATTTGGATGTAACCCACAGTTTTTTTTCTTCAAAAACAATTAAAATTCACTTCAAGGTTGTACATATATGGAAGAAGTAAGAAGCAGTGAATTATCTATACTTAATAAAAAAAATAAAAAATCAGCCTTGAAATTAAAAGGTTACAATCATTGACACTTTTATTATTTTTAATTTGTTTGTGTTTTATGTCCATTTAACAGCTATGGTCATTTAAGGATGTGTCAGGTTTTGGTGGTGGAGGAAAGCTGGAGTTCCCGGAGGAAAAACACTGACCTACGACCAGTACCTGCGACTGCCCCACGTAGGCCTCGAAACACCCACCCAGTGGTGGAGAGCTAGTGGTAGCAGAATGTCAGACGCCTTAACCACTGGGCCATTGCAGCCCCTGACACTTTTAAAATATATTGAAAAAATTTATATCAACTGATCATCAAATTTCTTTTTTTTTTGATACAAGTATTTAAAACAAAATTTACCTTTAGGTTGACTGGGCAATCCAAGAGGCACCACAATCTTTCTGACCTGGAACTCTGATCTCAGTCCATCGCGGCCAACGTCCCGTCGCTTGAGGAGCTCTTTTGTTGTAATTTCAGTCTCTGTGGACACTGTGTTAGTACCTCCAGCAGGTGGCTTGATCGACAGATCATCCCATCGCAGGCATGCCCACAGAATTCTCAACTGGAGACCAACTCCACCAAAGGACTTGACAGTCTGTGTGCGGTACCGCCATGACGTTCTGAACAGAGGCCGAGGACAGGGATAAATCCAATTGACATTATTCATTTTGCAATTGTAATTGAATTGCTTGGTTTCAATGAGTCCTTTTGTTCTTGCCATTTTTCGCAGATCATGTTTCTCTAGTACAAGTGCTGACCTTTTCCTACTTGGGGTAAGATACTTGTGACAGGGGGGGAGGGAGGCTTTTTTCTTGGCTGTCGGTTTTTGTCCAAATTTTGCATACTTGACTAACTTAATTGGTTCTTTTGTTGACCTGGCTGGTGGCATTTTGGATTTGAGTTCTTGAACACTCATTTTCTCGATGGCTTGCTTCAACAAGAGCTGTGCCTGTGTGAATGCCTTGAGGCCTGGACGGTTGGCCAGGAGTTGCGCTACAGCCGCAGCTCGACTAGCTGGCGACTTCATTGCCGAGAGTGCAGAAGATATAGCCGACGTAGTGGCTGGCGAGGTTGTGGTGGGTGTTTTAGATGCTTCTGAAGCTGTGGCCGATGAAGATGAATCTGATGGTGTTTTTGATGTAAATGAGCTGCTGTTGGTATTTTTATTGGTCCCTTCGTCATCCTTTTCCACATCGACAAGTGAATCTTTCTCTTCAGATTTTTCTTTTTTGTCCATTTTCTCCTCCTTGTCTCCCTCTATGTCCACATCCTCGTCCTCCATGCTCATTTCTGCAATGGACTTGTCCTTCTCTGCCTCGATCGCATCCTCAGCTATGTCCATGTCGATCAATTCACTTTCATCCAACAAAGCTTTTCGACAGGTCGGTGAGAAACAGAACTCTTTACCCTTCTCCCTACACGAGTAGGAGTAACAGGGCAAAGTGACCTCGTCCAAATCTAATGGATCTTCCGATTTATCCTCCTTGCTTTCTGTGTCTTTTTCCTCACTGGAATCTTTTGAGTCATCCTTTTTGTCTCCATCCGGGGAGTTCTGACTCTTTAGCTTCCAGTTGATCTGTTGCTGTAAAGCTTGTCTCTGTTTGTTTTCGATCTCCTCCTGTTTTAACCGTCGCTGAAGGAGCAGGTCAAGTTTAGCGTAGGGTTTAGTCACTTTCGGATAGTGTGTCCTCTCGTTCATAGCCCTGCACACATCGACCTGTGGAATATCCAATTTCGGAGGCAGAGTATAATTAAACAGATCCAATTTCTTCTCGACGTTATCGGATTTCAGAGGTGCGGGTGTCTGACTGACAGATTTCTTAACGGGGCTTACACTTTCAATGTCAACTTCCATTTTGTCATCTCCGACAGAAGAGCACTGGCCTTCGTTATTATTTGTCACATTTTTGTCACTGCTGCCCCCATTATCAGCACTCTCTGGGGAGCTGTCTTTGACCACTGGCACTTCAACTCTTTCGCCAGTTTCTTCGTTTGTGTCCACTGCATCAACAGAATTCACTGCATGACAATCCCCAGCATCACTATTACACTTCACTGATTCTTTGTCCATAGAGGAATCAAGGTCTTCTTTGGCCGAATCTTCCTTTGAATCTGTGGTCTTTGGAGGTTCTGTTATTTCCTGGTCCACATCCATATGCTCCTCCTCACCCTCCGTTTTGTCTGTACTGACGGGTGAGGACGCTGTTTTTTGAGATGCATTTGCTGCCTTAGGTGTTGCATCTGCTGCCTTGCGTTTGCGAGCTTGGATTTTACGAGCAACATTCCTGAGTCCAACTGTGTCCTGAGGTACAAACTGGTATTTTCTCGTGGTACTGAGCCATCGCCATCCTTGACCACCCGTCACTCGGTACTCCTCTCCTCTCTGCTTCCAAACCTGCACAAAACACATATATGTTACGTTAATGTCATTTAAACCTCAGCCATCTACTTTTGAACCTCCACCAGTGTTTTTTTTACCTAAATTTTACAACAGTCTGTTCATTTATTATCTAGGAAAATGTAGCACTATATTTATTGAAATTAGGAATTTATTCCTCATTTTCTGGTCATTTTGGTAAAATGAACCACTTTTTAGCTCGGTGAAATAGTTTGTATTCAGCTGTAAAACTGAGGGGGAAAAAAATACTGTCCACATACAGAAATGAATAAATGAATGAATAAAGGCAACCAATGGCAATGTCAAGTGAAACAATCTATAAGTGAAACTTGCATTACAATCTACAGGGGTGCACCATTCCCCTTGCCCAGTTTTAGTATAACTTGTGGGGTTTTTTTTAACTGCCCGGTATGAAAATATAGATCAGGCAAGTAGACTTTTTGAAAATCTACCTGTGGGTGACAAATTTAAATATGAAATTGTACACTCCTGAATTTGCGTCTGGACCATACAGGTAATATGACATAATATTTTGAAAAAGGACCAATTCATTCATTTTTTTCCCCCTCAAATTCATCACTGCATGGTCTCCTGTCTTCCTCCATCAACCTACCTGATGCTTCAACCCCAAAGTGTATTTAATCCACACCAATGGTCGCCCTTCATCCTCCTCTTCCTTCCTTTTTCTGATTTCCTTCTCTCGTTTCTTCATCTCCTCTCTGTCTAGGGACGTTATCTTCTGTAGGCGACAGTGTCCTGACAAAACCAATAACACAAGAGTATAATTATTGAAATCAACGGTGATGATGGAAAAGAAAGTAAAACATTTCATCATCTACCTAGCTACCTACCAACAAAAGTGAAAATGGCAAACAAACAATATATTTTGCATGGCCCTGTCAGAGTATTTTGATCATCAATTATGACATGTTTTAATGATATTTCATAAAAATAAAGTAACAGCTGCTGCCATTGAACATGCCTGAAAAAAAAATCTTTTTCGTAACTTAGCACGGCAAAAGACAAAATATACTACTCGATGATCTAATCTACCTACCCAAAGCTTCTGACCATACTGGGTTAAATATCACAGGCTTCATGCAAGCTTCAAGTATGGACAGGGCTAGCGAGAAGTCACTGGGTTTGCGGCACATGTGTACTGCGTTGGTCCAGCTCTGACGATGCAGTGGCCAATTTGGGTGGAGAAATGAGCTGGGGATGCTGGACTCGAGTTGTATAATGGTCAGCATCAAAGTCTGGATGACCACACTCTTCTTGCCATGGTTTGCCCCGTTCCATTTGAACTCACTTGCCTGCGTGAGACTGAACTTATGAGATAGATAGCGTCGTTTGTCGCGCTCCTCGTTGTGCTGGTACTTGTTCAGAGCCAGGTTGTTGGTGGCGTACTGGTTCACGTAATTCTTGAAATTACATTCCATGCCTGTGAACGAATTACTTTCTGTTAATCAAATCACAAACAAAAGGACATTTCTAATATTGTTTTTCAATTCATTTATTATACATGCAAGTCCTTAAACTTTTGATATCTTTCTCACATGTTTTTTTATTTTCTTTAACGTAAAACCTTATCTTATGATGCACTTCTAGTTGTAACAGTAACTAAAATCGAAAAAAAAAATCTGAAAAAATATTCATACATTTTTCACGATAAACAACCATTGATGAGACATCAAAAATATATTAAAAAACACATTGAAAATTTTCCCCAACATCATCCCAAAGACCCACAATGAGTTTTAGAAATCAGTATGACTTACCAAGCTTAAAATGCTGTAGACTGGTGACGGTGGCGGACTTACTCCTGGTAACCCGGGTGATATCGCCATCTTTATTAATGACTAGAAGATCGTCAGAGGAAGAAGAGGACAGTTTGGATAGAGTTTTGACTGATGTGGTTCCCGTTATAGAATCTGTGAACTGCTTTGGAGTCAGTGAACCTGTTTTAGACCTTGTAACAATTTTTCTGGCTTCTGAAATTTAATATGTTCATTTATTATACAAACTTCTTTACATCATATATGTTATTTCAACTGGAAATCTCCTGATCTAATGGGAATCGGGATTCAAATTTGTGACTGGGGCCATATTATCATCTTCATCCTCCTATTGATGTCATATTACCCCTTCATCCTACTAGGAATTTCATTGGAAATAGTTTTCTCCTACATCTGTGTATTCAAGACACAGTCATACACATGAACAATAGGTTAACTCTATCCCACGTAGGTACACCTGGTGATCCCCAGGCCAATTAATTCAGTTTTTCTAAATCCTGACCATAAGGACAGTTACTCTTACAATTTTACATCACATGAATATCAAATTATCGAATCAAATGTAGCAATGTTTTTAATAACATTGCTGTATGTTGTGTTTTGTCTTCTCAATTTGGAGCCTGTTTACATCTCGATGGAGTGAACTGATTTCATCAGCTGTTATTAGTTATCAGTGCTTTTGTTACCTAAATTTTTCAACAGCCTGTTCCTTTATAAAATGGGAAAATATAGCATTATTTGTATTGGAATTGGGTCATTTTTGGGAAAATAAGACACTTTTAAAAGCTAGGGGAAACAGCCTGTATTCGGCTGTAAAACAGAGCAAAATAAATTCCTGATTATCCGTGTAGTTTGAAGAAAGATATGTTTACCTGCCAGGGCCGATGCTGTAGTTGTTGTACTAGTTTGCTGGATGGTGGTAGTTTCAGCCTTCGTGCCATCGAGAGGTTGTTTACTGACGGCTAGCGTAACCTTATTGCCATCTCTATTCACAATCAAAACAGTTCGAGTCTGTTTTTGTGGACTGCTGTCATCGTTCATTTTCAAGACAGTCTGTTTCACATTTGGACAAACCGACTGGACGTTCATAATGGTGGACTTGGGCTTGTCATTAACACTAACTTGAGTGAGGTTTTTCAAGTCTATTTTTTTAATGTCTACAGGTTGTTTTATTTCGTTTTGAAGATCCGACAACTGTTCCGATTTTACGTCGACGTTCGTTTCACTGCCATCAATGTTATTTTCAACTATTTCCTCCTTCACCTCCGTTTTAATATCCTGATCCATCATCTCTTCCTTTGCATCCTCCATTTTGGGAACGACTTCAGAAGACTCTGAAATGGTTGTGATAGACTTCATCAGAGTTGAGGTGGTTGTCGTTGTGGTCAGGAGTTCGGTCTTTTGCAAAGTTGAAGTGCCATTGTCAGAAACAGTGGTCGAGGTTGTCACATTACTTGTGACTGATGTAGTAGTCTCAGTTTTGATCAGTTCAGATATATCCATATCTGTCTTTTCCTGTAAAAAAAAAAACCAATGGTGAAAATGTCTCAGGCCATAAATTAATATGTGTGTTATGATTTCCAAACAAACCCTAGATTTTTGTGCCTACCCTAAAGGTTTTATAGGCATGTAGTGATAAGCACTGTTAAAGTCGGAACTCCTGCTCTATATAAGACAGCATAGTAAAAATATTTCAAAAAGAACAGCAAAAAATTTGCCTACCTACCAACCTTGATTTTTTTCAAGCAGAAACAGGAAACACAACATTTTTTTTTTTGGCCTCATGGAAACCTGATCATATTGAAAACTTGATTCGAAAGTCAAAAATGGAAAAACAAACAGCACTTTGATTTTATAACAAATCTTACAAGCTGAACAGCATTTTCCTTGAGGGCTGTTCCAGAATTAAACATTGGGGACGGGTGGACCCTCATCTCCCATAAAAATCTCAAAGTGATTTAACATAAGGAATGGTTGGCATATCAGGTTTTAACCCCACCATCCATAATATAATAATACAGGCGCTTACCACCTCCCCCATACAATACATTATGGAATAGCCCAGAGTATTTGAGAAATTTTCAACATCTCTTGATTCGAGAAAGTTTGACTGCATCTCAACGACAAACTCTTTTTTAGATATGACTTTTGATATCTTCACTAGTGTTGTTCCGATTAGTCAATTTAGTCGACGTCTGGTTGTTTGTTTTTCGAAAAAAAATGATTAATCGATCCTTGTTTTCCATGATCGATTATAGTTTGACTAATTTAAGAATTAACAAAAACTAAACTAGGATACTGTTATTACGGTCGACAGAGTTATTCGTTCTTGGGCAAAACAACTTGACCGAACGTCTTACACAGCGATGGCCTGATTGGCTAGCCGGTCCCCCGACAACCAATCAGAACTTGCGTTTCAATAGAATTGCTGCATGGCTCAGTTAGTGCAAGACAATATGGCAAACCAGGACATTCGAGAGATTAAACTCTATGATTATCTGGGGGCTATTGATTTAAACATTTGGAAGGTATTGTTTGTCCTTATCTGGATATAAATAAAAGCTTTGTCGAAAGTATGGGCTATCTTACAAATAAAATGTTAAGTTTGACGGGTGTCATCAGGTGAATACCAATCCATCGTGCCATTTCTGAATACAAGATGCAGCTGTCACAGCATAATTGACATTGCAAACATCATCAATTTCATTTCCAAATACATATTTTTCAATAATTATAAGGTTCTGTCAACAAATGTATTGTTTTTTGTATGAATGTTGTGTGTTATTAGCAAAATTCTCGAACGTCTGGGTTTCCCAGTTAACGAAAGTGAAAGTAGATTACTGAATTTAAGTTCAATTTGATCGATCATTAGTCGATCATCTGTCACTTGATTGGAAGTAATGATCGAGTATGAATTTACAAGTGATTCCCAACACTAATGTTCACTGCAGTGAAGATATTAACGTCAGGATGTTGATAAGTTTCAGTCAAATTTCTGCCAGAGAAGATTCTGCAATAAAGACTTCAACATTTTGCAACAAAAATGGCTCTTAAATTCATGGGATTAAGAAATACCATTAGAAATATAGTTTTCTGTTCATTATTACCAAATTGCCTAGCTGAGTCTCTTCTTTAATTTCGTCTTTCTCCCACAATGTTCCATTTTCTTTTGGGCCATCAAGTTCTCCCGAATCTTTGCCTTCTAGATTCCTTTTTTCTGCAGATTCTTCTTCCTCTTTCTTCCTTTTGTCCTCTTCCTCCTCCTTAATCTTCCTTTCTGTCTCTTCTTGTGCCTTCCGTAGTGATCTTTCTGCTTGTGTCTTGACAATTTCAGCTGAAAATACCCAACAAGTTATGGTGTAACATCGAAAGTAACATGCATCCATTCATTTTGAGTTTTACTTTTACCTTAGAAATAAAAAAATTGGCGAAATAATTGTAATTTTCTTTGAAGACAGCACAAATATGAACTATACCATGCTAGTTGGAAAATTGGTTGATATAATTGCTTTTCTAATTTTATAGGGGGGGGGGGGCGAGGGAGTATATCAAACTTTTACCATTTTTGTCATCAGTTTCATTTTATCTCTCTCATTTTTTTCAGACGAATTATTGGACTTATAGTATGGGATAGTAGCTTTTTCCGGGGATGATTAACTTTTTGCTGTATTTTTCTCAAAAACAAACATTACAGGGGTGGAATAAGCCACTGGTCCACTGACCAGTGGCCAGTGGTTTTCCGGGAAGACCAGTAGGTTTTTCAACAAGCTATCCTGCCAGGCCAGTAGATATTTTTGTTAATCTATCTAAAAATTCAGCAGATTTGAAAAGACTTTTTTAAGCCAAGAATGTAACACTTCTAGATTTCAAAATTGCTGTTGGGGGGATCAGAAGAGTATCAAGTACCTTTGGCGCTCGCTTGGACCTGCAGCCCTCATTATCTGGACCAGTGCACTTCAAACAGGACCAGTGGCTTTTTACTTAAACTGGCCCTTTGGACCAGTAACCAATTTTTTTTAAAATCCCACCCGTGCATTATTTAAATTGGAGAAATTAAATAGAATTGATGGGTTTATCTAAATCTAAAATCCCACATGAATTCTTACCAGTTTCCAACTCCAAAGCCGACTTCCTGTTACCCTTGTGAGACATAGTGAGTTCATGTGTGACAGCCATCTGTTTGAGAACATCTTCCTTGAATTCGTAAATGGCGCTGACCAGATCCCTTTCCCAGCCTTCGGAGTCTAGCACCTCCAGTAACTCGTCAATCTGACCTTTTGTACTGTAGTACCAAACCTCATTCTCGCCCTCACTGTGAATTACAAATTAAAAGATTTTTTTTTTTTTTAAACATTCCAGCATTTGATAGAAACAATGTGTTTCTTTCCTGCATAGCACTAAAATTAGAATATTTATCTTTTTAAGCTCATTTATTATATATACAGATATTAATAGGATGGATGTATCAACTAAGACCCCAGGGTGGGACCAGACCCTAGTGCAAGTCCTGATAGCATGATTGTTTACATACATTGTTCATGCCCAACAATTAATGTATCACTGTGTATATAAAATGTAAGTATGTGTATGGTTGTGTGGTGGGGTCTTGACTGTTTCTATTTTATGACCCAGTGACTAAGTTCCCAGGGCATCAAAGTTGGAACCTTGTTCCTTTCGGAAATCCTGTATAATTATTTATTGCGAGAATGATTGCAAAAAGTATTTTTGAAATCTCTCATTCTTTGGCTTAATAACAGAATTAATTAAATCCTGTAAGACTCACACTACGATCCTTCGCACCAGAAACCAGTATTTCCTTCCATGTCTGTCAAACCCAATAGGTTCCTGTCTGCATAAAAGACCACTTTTCTCTGCTTCAGATACACAATCTGTTACACCTTTAATCTACAAAAACAAAAACAATTTAATCTACAAAAACAAAAACAAACATAAATATCATTAAAAAAATATTTTAAAACATAATGATTCCCTCCTATCAAGACGTCACCAGGCATGGTCATTCTACATGATGTAGAAGGATAAGGATAGTATTTCAGTAAGTCAAACCGTTTTATTTGAGTATTTTGAGTTTTATGTTCTACGACAATTATATCTTTGACAGTTAGTGAAGTTGTGCAACAGAGACATCTTTCATGCGACTGCTTTTCTTTATTGTTTTACTATGTATAAATATTAAATGTTGTGTCCTCAAAATTTGAAGAGGGTCTATTGTGAAAAGGCAGAATGAAGATGCCTGATGATGCTGATTTTTGTACCTTGTGAGCTCGACAAACTCCACAGACCCAGTCTTCCTCCGGTACCTCCTCCATTGGAGGTTCCACACATGTAAGGTGATACACAGCAGAGCAGGTTTCACAACAGAGCAAATCTCCAAGTCTGCTTAAAAGAAAGGAATACACAGTTACAAAATCAAGACATGGAGATATATATACCATATCCTGCAGAATGTCAATTATTTACAGATGTAAAATCATTGTAAAATTAAATAAAATTCAGAACAAAACAAAATGATTTCATGTTATCATAATTACATGTATTTCCAATTATTTACAGGTCTTGACTAAAATAGCTAAAAGTAGGCATTAAAATATTTTGAACGAAACTTACTTATGACAGTTTCTGCAATGATCATCATACTGGATGTTTCCTTCATTCATAATTTCTTCTCTCACATTGTTTGTAACCAAGAACAGGTCAGTAAGAGTCTTCAAAACTTTAAGTCTCTCTTCAACAGGCACGAAAGGGAAATCTGGATGTTCAAGTGATTCTATTGCCACTTTATACTCTGGGTAGCGGTCACTTTCCGTGTCAAGGAGCGCTCGAATTGACTCTGGCCATGTAAAAGCATCCACAAAGAACAATGATATATTGATGCTGTCTTTCATATCTGAAGGGCCAAATGCTGTATTATTTCCATCTTCTTCACGCCATAATGCCTTATATAATGTTATATGAATTTCTGTCAGCAGAGAGGAAACTTCATCGCTCATTATTGCCGCACAGAAGTCCTCAAAGGAAAATGGGGATAATCGGAGTATAGTACGGAAATGTCGAAGCACTTCATAGATGCTTAGACTTTGCATAAGGTTTTCAATGGGTATCATCAAATCTGTTGATGTTGGAGGCAGTTTTAATCGTGCAATATCTTTGTCATCCAACAGCTCAGGAGTTCTAGGTCTTCTACCAAAAAACAATTTTCTCCTACCAGCTGAGCTTCCTATAGTACTGAAGCTATCATTACTACAGTCCGAGTCTGATTCTTCATAACTAGCGTCTGAAACTGGATCGTTTTCATCCAGATCATCAAGAACATCACTTACTTTCTCCTCTGTGTCAATACTGGATCGCGACTGATCATCATCTTCAAATATCATGTGCTGAATGAAATGTCTACCTCTTTGAGCAGCCTCACGGGACCTACCCCTCCCCTGCCCCCGCACTGGAGTACCAGGTGTACTGACTGGCGTACTAGACCGAGAACTTGGGTCACTTGATGGAGTTCCATGGTTTTGATAGGCTTTGGGCTTTCTCAAAAAATTACTTCTGGGCCTTACAGATGACAAAGGCGTCTTTGGAGGTCGCCCTCTTCCGCGCCTTCCTCTAGTGGACATAATGCACACTTTAAGATAATTCCGGGTGCTCTAATGTTCCCTGCTGCTTGAAAAAGGCGGCCCTTGTGCACATCGGCAGCCCTCTATATCGGATTTAGTGTCCATGTTTCAACTTTCGGAAGCCGCCATTTTTGTCCAAATTTGATCACGTGATCAACGCAATCGTAATATACAATGGAAGTCCTACCGTTATGTGCGCCTACCTCGAATTTTCATGCATCAATATTACGATATTCACAAACAGTTTGATGCTTTTGATCATTTCCACGTTTTCTTGGGATGAAATAGGGTCTAAACGCGATACAAATCGAATAATGTTATTGTTTCTTTCTGATCCGTCTTTCTCGTTCCCGATATAAGAGAGAAACTCGCATTGGACGATTCATTTTAGACCGCATGCAATTATTCTGTTAAATTTTGGCCTCTGGCGTTTTAATTAGGTATTTTTTCAATTTCATATGTATATTTTGAAGACACTTGAACAGTCAAAGTGATAGTAGACCCCTGTGACACAGTTTTAGGAAGAAATGAAAGTTGTTGTTGCAACTTGTATTGACCAATCAAATTTGACTTTACAAACGGTTGCGTTATTGTTCCATTTGAAACATCTCTAGCTTTTTCATAGTAATCAACTTAAAAAAGTTATCAAAAAGTTAATACGCCGAGATCGGTAAAACAAGAGACTCACGAACGTCTGCAGCCGGCTCTGCATGTGGCAAAAATGTCGCAAGTAATGTATAAAGTTCAACCGTTTTACGACTCGAATGTTGCCTTAAAGTTACCAGATAATATGTACAAACTGTCAAATATTCAGGGATCTACAGAGGATAGCAAAAAGGTACGTATTTAGCGGTAAAATAGCTTTGTTATAGTATAATACTACCGAGTAACAATACATTTCCCATGTGCAAATTTGACATGTCGATTGTCGGTGTAACCGTCTGACACCACTTTCGTTTTCTATATATGCCAGAATAACATATTTGTTCTTTTCTCAAACAGACATATATGATTTACCTTGCGTGTCTAAAGTTTCACCCTAAGTTATACATGCACTTTGAGGTCGTGATCATGATTTGACCAGAAAACAGACTGCAAATGATCAACTTGAATCGTGAAATGACATCGTATATTGAATATAATAGTTGTACCATTATGCATAGTATGCATGCACATCGTTTTCTAATATATTGTGTTGATGTTTAATATCAACTTTGAGAGCAGGTCAGGGTCAAAGGTCAGTTTGATGTTTATGTTTTAATATTTTCATAACTACTCCTCAAGAACGGTTTGTTAGATACAAGTAAATTCTATTAAATCAGCTCTTAGCTTACATCATGGCGTGTCGTCTGTCTTATCTCAAATTTTTATGACGAAAGGTTATCAGGTTAGTTCAGATACCTCCCCCTTCAGAATAATGAATGAATGAATGACAGGTGATCGTGAATGATAGAACCATTAATATTGGGCTTACGAAATTGACACACAGCAAGCTAATTATAATGATAAATATGTTAGTTTATTCATTAATGAACCAAAGTTAGTATTAGTGTATTTTCATTGTTTAATCAGCTTTGACATCTATAAGTCACCATTTAAGGTGAATACTTCTATCAATTAAAGATATAACATTATTATGTTTGTTCGAAAAAAGTCTTTTGGAACAAAATGGCCCATCCCCCAAATAACACAAACAAAACAGAAATAAAAGAAGGGGATTGACCTATCCATTTTCAAATCTCAAACTAAACCAAATTTGCAATTCAGTAATTGTAAATGCACATTATCAAAATTAAAAAGGAGTGCATTGCCAAGGAAAGTAACTTTAATTTTATAAAAAGGTCTTTTTAAATTGCTATATTTTCTTTTTACGAGAGAAAATTCCCCAGGTTGAAAAATCAGCTACAAAATGGAAGTCTTCTTCACAATTATAACTTGCGCAGTTGTATCCTTGCTTCAACAAATTCCTCATTTGGGATTGACATGTTAGACTCCTGTATAATGTTAAACCTGCAGTTATATAATCCAGACATGTTCTGTAGTTGCAACATGTCATCAAAACCTATATGATCTTTTTATATTGGAAATACAAATAACAAGGACTGAAAAACATTTTTAGACTTCATGCATGTATGAACACAAATGGGTTACATACATATTCATCGTAAATATTTATGTTAACTGATTTGCATTCATATCAGCATGAACATTGACCAAACCCTGTTCAATCCTGTTCAATCCTTAAAGTTTTTGCTATTGTTGACCTATTCATATATAGAGTTCCCTTATATTTTTATACGCGCATCAATTTTGACGGGAGTATTATGGTATGGGGTATTCCTGCAGGCCGTCGTAAACTTTTGTTTGTCCGGCAATCTCCTCCTACATTTTTCGACCGATCTCTTTGAAACTTTGTATACATTATAACCATGATATGAATTTCTGTCTCCCTTAAAAGTAGTTTGATTCGACAATTATTGCAAAAGTTATTGCCCTTTGTTTATTTCAGTACTGTATTTGATTTTTGTCCGGCAATCACCTCCTATATTATTCGACCGATCTCTTTGAAACTTGGTATACATTATAACCATGATATGAACTTCTGTCTCCCTTAAAAGAATTTTGATTCAACAATTTTTGCAAAAGTTATTGCCCTTTGTTTATTTCAGTATTTGATTTTTGTCCGGCAATCACCTCCTATATTATTCGACCGATCTCTTTGAAACTTGGTATACATTATAACCATGATATGAAGTTGTGTCTCCCATCAAAGAATTTTGATTCGAAAAATTTTGCAAAAGTTATCGCCCTTTGTTCATTTCAGTATTTGATTTTTTGTCTGGAGATTTTCTCCTACATTTTTTATAACATGTCAGCTTACCACTCTTAGAATGATGCAGATCTTATTTCAATGTAAGAAAGTAAATAACACTATATGGCATTCAACTGGCGTATATTGTTCCGCCCCGCGATACTCTTGTTTATATTGAAGCATCTGTCTTCATTACAAACAAGATTCCTGGAACAGCCTAACATCACCAAAATGTTTGATTCTAACGATTGACTCTGCATGTTATTTGAGGAGGAGGAATAGCTTCAAAATGACCCAAGGTTATCAAATTGGGTTCATAGCTCTATGAATGCACTTTCTCTTGGTAATACTTATAGACTAGAGGAACTTTCAGTGGAAATGTAAATATGTCCATCTTTCTATTATATCTCGTGTAAATATGAATGTCTACTTACCAGGTCTTTTTCCAGTTTCTATAAATTATTTCTATCTATGAGCAGACCCAGGACATTTACATATAATGTATTAGTTTTTTCATTATTGTGCGGAGTGAAATTCCTCTGACAGGAAATTCGCAAAACCTATTTTAATATTGTCCTGCCATGAGAAAACATGAAAGAAATCATGAACGTTTGTACCTGATGTTTTTTTTATGCAATGTATCTGTATTCCGTCTTTTCGTATTGCAGAGTTATCTGCTCCTGATAGCATTGTTGCATTATTTTTTGTGAGAGTAGCGTCATCATTTTTTGAGAAAACGACGTAATTTTCTCACACAAAGTAGTCTATGACGTAACAATCAATACCTGCTCACAAGAGAAGATAACTCTGCAATACGAAAAGACTTAATACCTACATCACTAGTACTTTGGATGCTAAAGTTAACTATTATTATCCTTTCGCAATGAGGTTAAGGAGGGGACATTTTATCTGCATCTAGCAAGTTGATTTGTGAAAAGGATCTTGCTCAAACTTTATATTTCATTGTCAATTATAAGGTTACTTCAAACAAGGTCATGTTTCAGGATGCCAGGGTCAAAGTCAAGGTCGCCGTTACTATTTATAGATATTTTCTGTCAGTGCTCTAACTAATAAATTACTTTGTTGATTTTGATCAAACTTATGTATTGGTTAGACATGGGAATACCTTGATTAAGTTCATGTTTTGAGTTTCAAGGTGCCAAGTTGAAGGTTACTATACGTTACCAGTGACATCATTTGAAATTTTTTGAAAGGGTTTAAATCAAACTTCATATGATATCAAGCTGGTGTCTGAAGGTGCTAAGGTCAATGTCACTGTTACTACTATTTGTGTCATCGCTCTATAATGACTTTGGTTACACTGCACAGATTTGATCAAACTTAATATATTGGTCAAGTGTGAGATGAGTTTATGTTTTCGGGGGTCATGGGCATTGTTATTTATTTTTTATAGAAAACCTTTGTCATCCTCTTCGCAACTTCATTTCTGAAATGATGTACTAAGATAAAGGTTACGGTTAAAAAACGTTTTGTTGAATTTTTGTGTCATCACTTTTACATTTTTCTGTGTCCTATATTACTATAATTTCAACATTTTTTGTGTGTGTGTGGCATATTGCTGTATGTTTTGTTTAATGTAAAGAATATACAGACACAATAATGGTATGTTAATCATTTCAGAGGATGAAGTTGGTAGTGTGAGACGTACCAAAGTTATGTTACAAATATGATTTTAAATACATAGGAGGGGGATTTGTATCTTTTGCCATATTTTGTGGGATTGTTAAATAGGAAATATATATAGGATCTTACATGACTTTCCATTTCATAAGAGATTTATGAAACGAGTCTTAGAATATTTCAATTTAGAAAGCCTCTGGCTAAAATGAAAAATTTGTGACAAGTTTCATAAATTTCATATGAAATGAAAACGAGTGTAAGATCCTTTTTATCACATATCAAGGTTTGTGGCATTTATTCGTGTAGAACGACAATTTCCATGCAACCTGAAAATGTAAAAAGCCACCATTTCGACTCCATGCAGTGTGTGTAAGTCTGTGACGTCATTTACTTGTCCTAGGCTTGATGTCACAATTGAAACTTACAACCAATCACAGAGCTGATATGTCATATTACATGGGTTAATACGCAAAAAAAAAATGACATGGGTATATTCACTGCATAACACAGTACAGTATGTGATAAATAAAGAGAAGAAATACATATGAACCCCTATTGTAGTTTGAAAATATATGTGGATTCTAGCCATTGATTTGCTGTCTTTAAGCATGCAAATATAACTGTTTATAGAATAATCTCATTTAATTAATGTACACTGGTATAAGATTTTTTTTTTTTAAATCATCATTGTTTATTTTTTTGTATTTTTTCCCCTGTTGAAACCAGTCAAATTTATTTCAATTTATCAGAGCCAGACAATATTCATCAAAGCTTTACAAGTGTAGTGGGGTGAAGCAGACGTTCTGGTGATTAATGCACACATGTATGTTTGAAAGGAGCTATAGGGTAGTTAGCACAGAACATCCATTTCCCTTGTTGTACAGAGGTAGGCTCATAGCTAGATAGACTGTAGGTAGAAGTGACAACCTGATCCGACCCCCTTCACACACCTCCAGTCCCACTCCCCTAGCATAGCATTCCTACACATATATAATAAACACAGCTGACGAGCCAGTGCCTTGTTGCAGGCAGCACAGTCTGTAAGTCTGCACTGCATGTGTGTCATACTACCAAACTTCTCTTCGAGTGCTCTATACCGGAATATATATATATGGCATCTAGCACTTAATTACATCTCTCTGTTGTATATGGTTGTACTGAGTGCATACAAATACCGAATACTGCATCAGATATGGGAAATATCATTAGCTCATGTAGGGACAAAATAACACCATCATTGCATAGCAGCAAGAAGGCTGAGCAGAGTGGTGCTTTAGTGAAGGCGACAGAAGAAAAGGCCAAGCAAAGGGATGTTCTGAATAAGAACCCTGAAGGAAAAGCCAGGCAAAGGGATATTTTAGTGAAGGCAACAGAAGAAAAGGCCAAGCAAAGTGACATTTTAGCGAAGGAGAAAGAAGAAAAGGCCAAGCAAAGTGACATTATAGCGAAGGAGAAGGAAGAAAAGGCCAAGCAAAATGATAAATTAGTGAACGAAACAGATGAAAAGGCCAAGCAAAGTGACATTCCAGATAAACCAACATACAAAACGGCTAAGCACGATGATACTCTTGATAAGTTTACACAAGAAAAGGTCAGGAATAGCGAGCTGCAAGACAAAGCCAAGGAGACAGAACTTCACAATAAACATGATAAACCCATACAGAATGAGATAGAGCAAGATAAGTTACTAGTTAAGGCCAAGGAAGAGGTGTTACTGTGCAAGGCCGAGCAAAATAAAAGTTCAGTTGATTTTAATTTTAAAGATGTTTGTGATCCATTCACAAAAGAACCAGCCCAAATTGGAAAAGAATGTGGAACACAGATGTGTGAATTACGAGACCATAATCATGACACGGACGCTAGTGATTGTGTAGGGAATATAGATCCAACAAGAAAGAGGCATGACCATGAAACAGACAGTCATAATTATCATACAAATTCACCGGAGAATGGTCACTTTCCAGATGTAATCCCATCAGAGGAGGATGGAGAAGAAAATAGGTCAAAGGTACAAAGGTCAAGGTTACAGTTCAAGTACTGAGGTTAAATGTAGAGTTCAATGATGCAGAGCAAATGTAGAAGAGTTCAAAGGTCAGAGGTCAAAAAAGGTTAAATGTAGAGTTCAGAGGTGGAAAGGGCAAATGTAGAGTTCAAAGGTCAGATGTACAGTTTAAAAGTGCAGAGGTCAAATAAACAGTTCAAATGTGGAGGATTGTAGTTTAAGGTGCAGAAGCATAAAAAGTTTAGAAGGAACCGGAGTCAGAGGAACTGATTTAAATTATATTAGAAAGAATTTCTTGTACTATTTCACCTGGAGTAACCATACTTTAGGGCATATTTCCTATACTATTTAATCTGGTATAACCATACTTTGGCACATAATCTGTACAACCTGGAGTATCCAAACTTTGGGGCATTTCCTATACTATTCTACCTCAAGCAACCTTACTTGGTATTACAGATACATTTTTGATTGGTGAGAAAGTTTTATAGCAAAAAATGGTCGCTGTGACCTATATTTCACCTCTGACCCTAGCCCCTGAAGTAGTTTGCCCTATACTATTTCACCTGGATTTACAAACTTTCGTATGCAGTTATATTTTAGGATGGCTGGTGTCAGATAAAAAAGGTTGTTGGTTAATAGTATTTATGTCGGTGTGATCTAAATATATTGACCTGTCGCCAAATCACTGAAATAGTTTGTTCAGGGCATAGGGTTTGATTTCTTTGTGTTTTACGTCCTAGTAACATCCATGGTCATTTAAGGATGTGTCAGGTTTTGGTACGTAGTAGAGGAAAACTGGAGTTCCTAGAGAGATAGTATAACAATCTGTGGTTCAAACCCGATATAATCCCACTGAATATTTACATTCGGAACACTGGTTGATTATATTTTTTTTTATTAAGGCATTGTTTTCTTTTCATAAATGATTAATAAAAACTATACTAATGTAGGAACAAACGGTTTCCAATTTTACCGGTTTTGGCAGTGGTACGGGTATCCTTAAATATGTTTGACCTTGGTCTTTAAGTGCGAGGTTTACACCAGGAGAAAAATTCAGGCCCATTGGGCCTCATGCTACCTTAATATCTGAACATAGTTTCTGTATACATGTTGTTACTACAGAATGGTGATTTTGTTACTGATGCATGACCATCACACCGAAAACTGTGGTTGCACTTGAATTATTTCTTAACATTTTGTGTTAAAATGAGAACCATTTGGTGATACAAGTGATGTTTCACGTGGGCAAGTTTAATTTTATTGTAAAGATATTTTGGAAGTGTTTGTTGAACCTTATGTTATATGTACGTAGACCATGACTTATGTTATAATTTGTATGCGACTCGTACCCGTTTTAGTGATTCACAAAATCACGTTGTCAGGTGATTGCACAGGTGTTTTGATTGTTGCACCTCGCTTGTCTTCATATTCAGTCACAAAAATATCAGGTAAACAATTTAACTGGTCCATTCTGAAACTTTTTGGGTACATTGAAATAAATCTAATGATCGTGCATACTATGTACAATATTTAAAAACTAATTTTAATTGTCTGGCAGGAAATTTAATGCATTTATTTACTGCTCCGTCACTCCTGATGATAATATATTTAGGTGACAGCTATAGAGCAGGTATAGAAATATACCTTTTGTATGTTTGTTTTTAAGGGTAAATTGACAGGTAAGAATCACATTTATTTGTGAACCACTTTGAGACAACCTACAAACTAGGTTGTGATAAAGTGGTATAAATAAGAAACTCAAATTATTATTATTGTTGTTATTTATCTGCCAAGGTGATTGAATATTCATATGTGTGTGTTTCAGGTGAGAACAGCATCAACAGGTGAGGATAACTCTATAGTGGCGCTGGACAATAAACAGACGGCTATACTACAGAGGCTTGGAGAGTTGAGAGGTGTCCTGGATCAGCTAAACAACAAGTACGGTGGCGCCACCACAACATCGCCTTCGAAAATGTCATCTACCATGGTACTACCGGTGAGCATCATTTCTTCTCAGTTTGTTTTACAAATCTCATACTTGCCATCTCTCCCTATTTTGGAGAGCGACTCTCAATTTTGAACCCTAAAATTGAGCTTTTTCAACCATCTGTCGATTTCATTTGAGAGAAAAAAACAGCCGAAAAGATGCCATTAAAACGTGTTATTTTTTCCCTAGGGGTTATATACACACCATTTATTGATGTTTTTAATTCTGAGCATGCTAAATCTCCTCCATGGTCTACGGAAATTTCAAAAAAAATAAAATCTACGTTTGAGTAGTGTTCTCTGAAGAAAATTTCATCAAAGAAAAAGTGGGTGTAGATTTAGATATGCTTTGTCAATAGAAGTAATATTTTAGGCAAAAGTATAGCATCATTACACTACTTTAACATCTTTCAAACTTTTTGAATAACTGTTTTGAATGACACATTACAATCAAAAGTTTGATGTGTTATAAACACAGGAAATTTCTGGGTTGGAAAAAAGGCAAGTTTTAATTTACGCTTCGTTATTTTCCATTAATAGATAATAAAAGTGGGCTACATATATTATCTCACACTTAAAAACCTTCTAATAATGATCAATTGTATTAAAAGTGTGACATTTACAAGGGTCGACACTAACACTTGTCCGCTAGTCCTAGACTAGTAGATTTCAGCAACGACTAGTGAATCACCTAACCTAACTGGTCCTTTAGACTTACAAGTGAAAAATATGATTATAAAATAAGAATATTACTTTCTAAAATTTAGAAAACTGCTTGAAATAAGATAAATTGCTTGATAATTGTCAGAATTTACCTAAAACTTCACCATATTTTAAGTCCCCTACAGGCGATTACTTTTGATGTTTTGTGCTGTAGATCGCGATGTTTCCTTATCAGGAAATCTTGGACTTGTTACATTGACGAAGGACTAGTAATACAATTTATTCAACTAGTCCTGTCGACTACCAAGCAAAAAAGTTACTGTCTATCCCTGATTTATGATACTTTTTTATCTAGGCATTTTTTAGTGGGAAATGAGTTCCAGACAGAAAAAAAACTACTTAAAATTTTGAAATGAAAGATCTAGGTCATAAGTGTCACCTTTTAATACAGTGACTTAATATGTTTATGTGAATGAAATTAATTTCACTGCGAGTATAAATATAGATATAAATTTTATCCCGAGTAGTCTGTGTAATATACTGATTGAAAAACTAGAGGAACATACCATGCAGTTTCTAACTGGGAGAGAGCACCATTTAAGTTGAAAATCTTATTTAGCAGAAGATGCACCTTCCAGAAAGATACCCTGTACTTTTTTGTGTATTTGGGAAATGTTTGCTATGAGTAATTTGAGTGTGTCTGATATTTTCGTAATTACACCCCAGCAACAAAGTTAGGTGCGAGGGGTATAATGCAATCTGTCTGTAGAAATTCTTTTTCACACTACTTCTCCTACAGTTTTAGCTGAACTTCAAAAATGTCATTGATGTTGTCAACACATTCTGTAGTTATGCCCCTTGCAATTAATATTTAGTTCCAGCAATTTTTGTGAGATTTTTGACCTTTTGTTTAATAATCGTTCACACTACTCATACCAAAGTGCTGCGCTCAGATTTGAATGATACTTTGTACACATAACATTTACATTGACAGGATGTATATATATATAAAGTATATAAATTGGAGTTATCTCTCTAAGTTACCGAGTCATGCCCCTTTAAATACATTCTCGAAATGACTATTCCTATAATTCTTGTCAAAGGGGGTGGGGGGTGGGGATATAAAAGTCTGCCATTCTGATGACGGTTCTAGTTGAGTATAACTCAATGCATAGCATGTTGCAAACCATTTACAGTGAAACACTTATTAGATTGCATCGACTTTCATCCAACAAAAGAACTTTTTTATGATAATATAACGGATCTCAAATCACTTTTTAAAAAAGTCAGTATCTCTACAATTCTAAACTATCTAAAAACTGTCGGTCTGTTCAGAAAGATACAACTAAATCATAGCCACTTTTACAATGTATTCACGTTGACGTCTGTCTTTTACCTTTTTCGTTCGTTTGATGTTTTTTCCTCCTACATGTTTTGTCTACTTTTATTGGCCCTGATGACCTTTTATGTGTTGATGGGCTGTTAAGAATATAATAAATATAATTAAGGTGGCTCCACACTTTCGCAATTAACCAGCAAAATTCGTTGAAACTTTCATATAATGGTTATGCAACTATGCAGAGTTAATTTTATGAAAATCTAAACATTCCGATAGTTTGGGGATTTTTTGGGAAAAAATACCAAAAAATTGAATTTTCGCCACTTTTAATATTTTCCGATTTTTTTGTGTGTGGCATTGTTCGGAACAATAAAAACAATAAAAAAATGAAAAGAAGCATTCATAATTAATCCTACAAATATTTTATTTATCACAAAATATGTAACACATGTTACACAAAGTGTTTTTTATTGAATTTGAACGGATAAAAGTGATTATCTACAAGCTAAAAGCAAACAGGACACACAGATCTATACATATAGAGTGGGAAATTGAACAAAATATACACAATGGCTTTATAATTAATTTATTTTACATTTTACAATCACTTTGATCCGGGTGAGAGTTATCTTCCTTGAAAAAAATCGGAACTTTTTGCAGAGGGATGACATTTACACAATGACAGTTGTCTCTGTTTACATATAACAAATGATGGAAATAAATCAAAAATATGATATCAAAATTATCAATTTATTGTTCTTTAATGGAACCAAATTACCCTCAGTCATGTACACTTTGGACATCATTCCACAGTCCGCTAACTCACGGTATATTTATAATTACATGTCAGGTACATATGTGACCAGAGGCTATCGCATGGTATGCCGTTCTCACGTGCCCTCACACATGCATTTCATAGGTATCTTGATATTTTACAAAACATTATTTTCACAGAGTAAGTAGACTACATTTGTAAACACGATTTAATCGACAGAGCGAAACTCCCTCAGCTTATGAACTCGTGTAAGCACGTGATATGCACATATGAGGTTGGTACGTCCGCATTCCATGTGTTTCCTATATGACCTTCTTGAGGTCGTCTGGTCTCATGTCACTGTCTTCCCGTGAGTCTGTTTATGTCAATGAATTGGAAAGCTTTATTCCTGAAGTACGTGTGATTATACATTTCCCGGTAAAATCTCGATATCGGGTGTTGACATATCATCGGCACGCACGTGTACTATTGTTTACCAGGGGCCTGTTCGTTTATGCGGAACAACCGGTTTGACCGTTTATAAATGTAACAATTCCGGGTATAAATCCTGGCGGACCTACAAATGTGTATGCAAGACTTGCAAGGCTTTCTCAAGGCTCGCCTGAAAGCAGCATCAGATAACTAGGTCCTACCTTATTTAATAAACGAACAACAGTGGTCCGATCGCTTTGACCGTTTAAACGCAAACGGCCCAGGTGTTACTATAATTTGCACTACGATATTGAATACCCTATACGCAAAACGGAAATGACGACACGGTGTACATGCACATTTCGATCAAGATAATTGAGTCCGAGCTGTACTTTTTCCGGAAGTACGTCACGAAAATGGACGCTGATGACGATGTGTCGAGCCACCTTAAGTATAACTTGATGAATGTTTCGCAATAAAATAATTTTTACTTCTTTGTAGATGGAGATGCTACAGTACACCATATGTTTTATAAAGAGGTGTTTTACACTAGTTTTTATGAGCATGACAACTTTCCTGAGTTATCTCTCTTCAATTCACTCTCCTTTTCCATTGCAGAGTGGAGTTGTCCATGACATTGTCATCAACGCTGACCCAGAGAATCCACCGGCCATTGTGTTTGTACTGTTCACACTCCTTAGGGAGAGGTGTCGGGTGTACGGGTCAAGCCTCGTCCACTCCAGTGTGAACAACGTCCCGGACCAACTTCGCAATCTCTTTAGTGAGCAAGACAACAATTGTCCACGTGGAAACCACCAGGTGGCGCTCACAATTATATGGAAAAAAGGTGTGTGTAAATAGAAAATTTGAGCTCATGTAGCTGTGATTCCGACACTGAAGACGACAGGGAGGCTGAATATAGTTTCAGCATAGAATTGGCGTAGCTGCAATTTACCGTATTTGTTATTGAGAACAACCAGATTGTTATGGTTCATTCCAATTCATTTGAGATGTTGCATGGCATTTAATTGGTCAATAGATCTAATTTGAGATGGCATAACCATAATGTCCTTCCTGAAAAATGTAATGACCTCAATGACCCCAACTTATCGTAAAATTGATAATTACTAACGTCATGAACAACAACGAGACCCTAAAATGTTAAAAATGTATTCCGCCTCACTTTGAATGTTCCTTGTGTCACCAAACCATGGCAGAGTGACCCAGACTTTTAAGAAACCACACACAAATATCTTAGTATATCATTGCTTCTTTCAGTGTCTTCAGCTGATATGAATATTGAGATTTGCAACTGCATTTCGAGATTATACTGTCGCAAATTAAGTTTTACTGGCGACAACTGGACTGGAGCTCCTAAAACAGATATTTGCAACAGTAAAATTATGATCTACCACCGATAATCTCAAAATATAGTAAGGTTATCCAATAAATGTCATTTATGTGGAGATGTGAATGGCCCAGTCTTGGATTACGGTATAACTATTTAGGTTATACATATACATGTAGCGAAATCGACACTCTTTAATGTCATTTATGTATAGTTGAGAATGGCTTGTTTCTGATTGTTATCATGTACTTGTAGTTGAGAATGGCCCAACCCTGATAGTGTCGCCACACAAGCAGACAGCAATCCAGGGAGAAGCAAATATTGCGAGATACATCATGCGACTCATCAACCAGGATTACGACAACTCGGATGTCGTTGCCACAACACAAGTCGACGATTGGTTAGACTCCGCCCAGCAACAGCTCCACCGTGGCAACACGAAGGAAAAAGCTGCAGCAGTGAAGTCTCTAAACGCTAGACTCGGGAGAAATGATTGGCTTGTAGGATCAGAAATCTCATTGGCTGATATGGTGATGTGGGCGGCTCTATTTCAGACCAATCAAATGTCAAATGCTCCAACCAATGTAAAAAAGTGGCTGGCATCTTGTGATAAAAATTCAGTTTTCAAGTTTGCCAAGACTGTTTTAAATGGAAGTTAAAAATAGACTTTGGACAATGTTGATTTTTCTTTTTCGAACTTAATTTTATACCTGATGACAAATTACTGTTCATATAATATGTACCATTACCTGCTTCAATAATTTGTTATCGGAATACATTTTTGGAATGAAATGTGAAATATTTACATTTGTGTTGCGTTTGAGTTTCTTGCAAAAACTTGGGCCAACCTGGTCTAGAAGCCTGTCTTCTACAGAACAAAGCGGCCCAGAGTCATGCTTTTTATGGTAGAGGGCTATGAAGTTTCTTGATATAAATCACATTGACCCATTTTCAAATGTTGCACAGGTCTTCTGTATTACTTAAGTTAGTACTCATAGGCAATGTCTTGATGTTTGTGTTGCATTTTGGAGGGGTGTAGGGTTATGAAGCTTGTTCAAATTAATGAAATTGGCCTCCTTTCGAGATCATAAGAGTCACTGGGATAATCCCGGAGGGGGCCATGGGGACAATGACCACTCAAAACTGCAATTGACCCCTCCATGTTCCAATAATCTTTTAATTTTACATAGAATGACCCCTCGTTATTTTGATATTGACTAAAAATTGCTGAAATGGCCAAATAAACACATTTTTATTGTATATTTTGAAAATATGGTCAATATTCTTTTTAAATTTTATAATATTTCTCAAAAAAAAGGCATTTTGAAAATTTTGCAGTACCGGTAACTACTTGTTCCTTTAAACAGGCTTTAAACAAGTAGGCCCAGGAGAGAGGTTATGAACCTTGGGCCTCTTCCTGTGTAAGGATATATGTTTAAATGAATCTGAAAAAGACAACAAAGATATGTTTCTCAACTCAGCTGACCTTTTCTTTAATTCCATGTTTAAACTTCAAGGTTTTTAATAAGATGATAAAAGATCCAGCAACCGTCATCAGTATTGTCCCTACCACTACAAGTATTGTGTGGCTAGTTTGACCAACTGGCACTGTTACCTTAATGTCATCATCATCATCATCCTGCAAACAAAACATATAAACGATTATTTTGATTGCTTCAACTTCCCCGTTAACATTCATATATATGTCTACTAATATGGCATACCTCAATGGCATCAACATCATGTAAAAAAAACATATAAACTGATATTTTGGTTGCTTCATCTTCCTCACATAACATTAATATATATGTACAAATAAACTGTTATGTAAATGGCTTCAACTTTCTTCGCTACACATAAGCTTTTACTTCAACGATATCAACATGCTGCAGACAAATACACACATAATCTTTTATTGTGTTGCCTTCAATATCCCCCCCCCCCCCCCAAAACATTTATATATATGTACTTGTAAACCGAGGGGAAATGGCTTTCATGTTCGTCACATTCATGAACATAGAAGCATTTCAAACTCCAAAGAGCTGGTTGTAAAAGTTTACAGTTCAGAGATTGGCTCTACTCAATCCAGATTGGCTACAGTCTAAAGGAGCCAAATTCCAGTAAGTGTGGTCAGGTTATAATAAGGACTGGTTATACTGATAAAAACAGCACAAAGATTGGATTCTGTAAATCAGGTATCTAGACAGGTTCTTTGTCCCACAATAAGAAGACTTGATCCTACATACCAAGTACCTAAGTACTTTGTCCTGCAACATGAAAACATTCTGTAAACAGGGTAGCTACTGACAGATATTAGGCACCACAACAGGGAAACATCCTACAATTCCAGTACCTACAGGAAATTTGGTCCTGTATACATGGTACCTTACATACAGATACTTGAGTAAACTTGGTCCGGTATACATGGTACCTACATACACATACTTGAGGAAACTTGGTTCTGTATACATGGTACCTACATATAGATACTTGAGGAAACTTGGTTCTGTATAAAAGGTACCTACAAACAAATACTTGAGGAAACTTGGTTCTGTATACAAGGTTCCTACATACACATACTTGAGGATACTTGGTTCTGTATCCAAGGCACCTACATACAGATACTTGAGGAAACTTGGTTCTGTATACATGGTACCTATATATAGATACTTGAGGAAACTTGATTCTGTATACAAGGTACCTACATACAGATACTTGAAGAAACTTGGTCCAGTATACATGGTACCTACATATAGATACTTGAAGAAACTTGGTCCTGTATACATGGCACCTACAAACACATACTTGAGGAAACTTGGTTCTGTACACATGGTACCTACATACACATACTTGAGGAAACTTGGTTCTGTACACATGCTACCTACATACACATACTTGAGGAAACTTGATTCTGTATACATGGTACCTACATACACATTCCTAAGGAAACTTGATTCTGTATACATGGTACCTACATACACATTCTTGGGGAAACTTGGTCCTGTATCCAAGGTACCTACATACACATTCCTAAGGAAACTTGATTCTGTATACATGGTACGTACATACACATTCTTGGGGAAACTTGGTTCTGTATACATGGTACCTACATACAGATACTTGAAGAAACTTGGTTCTGTATACATGGCACCTACATACAGATACTTGAGGAAACTTGGTTCTGTATACAAGGTACCTACATACAGATACTTGAAGAAACTTGGTTCTGTATACATGGCACCTACATACAGATACTTGAGGAAACTTGGTCCTGTATACATGGTACCTACATAAAGATACTTGAAGAAACTTGGTCCTGTATACACGGCACCTACATATAGATACTTGAAGAAACTTGGTCCTGTATACATGGAACCTACATATAGATACTTGAAGAAACTTGGTCCTGTATACATGGTATCTACATATAGATACTTGAAGAAACTTGGTCCTGTATACATGGCACCTACATATAGATACTTGAAGAAACTTGGTCCTGTATACACGGCACCTACATATAGATACTTGAAGAAACTTGGTCCTGTATACATGGCACCTACAGATAGATACTTGAAGAAACTTGGTCCTGTATACATGGCACCTACATATAGATACTTGAAGAAACTTGGTCCTGTATACACGGCACCTACATATAGATACTTGAAGAAACTTGGTCCTGTATACATGGCACCTACAAACACATACTTGAGGAAACTTGGTTCTGTATACATGGCACCTACATACACATACTTGAGGATACTTGGTTCTGTATACATGGTACCTACATACAGATACTTGAAGAAACTTGGTCCTGTATACATGGTACCTACATATAGATACTTGAAGAAACTTGGTCCTGTATACATGGCACCTACATATAGATACTTGAAGAAACTTGGTCCTGTATACATGGTACCTACATATAGATACTTGGTACCAAAACAAAGTAATTTGATCCACCAACTGACAATTATTTTGTTCCACAAGAGGCCATCCTGTATACCTTTTTGGTTAACTACTGACAAGTACTTCCGGAGACTTAATTGTAATACCCTGTCTCCTGCACACGTACACACAAGCACGCATACACTACACATATGGAGGCATGTCCTTAAATGACCTTAGCTGTTAATAAGACGTTAAACAAATCTAAACCAAACCGAACTTAACCAATCTGTATACAAGGTAACTACTGACAGGTACCTGATTCTGTATACAATGTACCTACGTACAGATACTTCCAAAGACTTAATTCAGTATACCATATACTTACTATGAGGTACTCGACCATTGTCCATCTACATTTGATCAATGTGGCACTTGTACAGGAAAGGTCTTCTTCACCAATCACAGCTCCTGTGTAATCTGGTCCAACGAACAGTAAGCTTTATATATTATATCACATAACCGTCAAAGGTGATAGTGCATAATGTTACCCTGAGGTACAAGTAACTTTTATATACAGCATATAAGGTACCTACTTTTATATATATTACACATTTTATATAAAGTATATATGGTACATATTTTTATATACAGTGTACATGGTATGTTCCCATTTAAGTGTCAGTCTATAGTGCTTAATGGTTAATGGGTAGGAATAGTAGGTCCCTATATGACTAAATCGCATTTCGGCACATGCTTTATTTTCAAAAGTGAACACTATTGGTAATAGTTCAATTGACAAATAATTAAATTACAAATATAAACGAAAACAGATTTTAAAATGTTTTGGATTACAAGATTTTGTATTCAAAAGCAGATAATATTTCTTCAAAAGTACAGAACAAATGACTATCAAAAGGTAATACTGGAGTTAAAAATTGGAACATTTGTTGGGCTGATTGGTTCCAGGTGTGAGATGCAACTTGCACCTGATCTCTAAAAACAACTTTATATCTACTGTATTCTAATTCATTTGAGATGTAACAAGGCATTTGATTGGTCAATCAAAATAATTTGCGACAGAAAGACCACCATATTGTGTCTGCAAATTTCTCATTTGCATTATGATGAGCCCTGATGCCAATTGTTAATGACGTCAATGACCCCGACTGACCCTGAAAGGTTAACGTAATTCTGCCTCACTTTGAATATTTCTGACGTCACCAATCCACAGCAAAGACACAGAATTTGAAGAAAATGCTTAAAATATCTTAAAATCGTTGTTTCTTTCGGTGATTTTGGTTGATATGGCTTAGAATGGGGATAACCCAACTGTATTTTGAAATTTGCTGTGGTATGTTATGATTATACCGTCGCAAATGTCAGTTATACTCGCACCGCTCCGCATTGCTAGTAAAGTTTAACTGCAGCAAATATTTCCCAGCATACAGTATTGTTTTGTGGGTGTAATTATTATCATTTGTTCAAGTCTCAAATGTCCAGTACCTGTATGTAATATTTAATGAAAGCAGAATTGGAGAGACAACTTTCAATACCAATGTATTAAGAGAAAAGTTCACCTTTTGCTGTACAGGATAGGAGAAGCAAGGGCTTTGGTATGCTGACTAATGTATACTCTACACTGGACGACGGTCTGTGATAGCGGAGGTGTATTGGTATGGTGACGCTGGTCATCAGATCGTCCATATCATCAGTCAGAGCAGATGTATACAACGAAACGTTCAATGATGAAGCGAGATATTCCGGCTGTTCTACATCCACTGGGTCACAGATAAACTACAAAAATAAAACACGACATAGAATTAAACAAGATTGCAACACAATGCTGATATCCCCCACTACTAAACTAAGGACACTATTCATAGAGACATGTAGGGAAGTTCTGATTATAATTTGCTCATTTGACACTACACCTTCCCAAGAATTTTTAGCCCACCATCATCTGATGGTGGGCTATTCCAATCCCCCTGCGTCCGTGGACCGCCATCCGTCCGTTGTCTGTCATCCATCCGTAAACAATTCTTGTTATCGCTATTTCTCAAGAAGTACTAGAGGGATCTTTCTCAAATTTTATATGTAGGTTCCCCTTGGTCCTTAGCTGTGCAGGGCAACTTTTGAGACTGATCAGATAAACAACATGGCCGACAGGCAGCTATCTTCGATTTTGATATTGAAAGTTTGTTATCGCTATTTCTCAAGAAGAACTAGAGGGGTCTTTCTCAAATTTTATATGTAGATTCCCATTGGTCCTTAGCTGTGCAGGGCATATTTTTGAGACTGATCGGATAAACAACATGGCCGACAGGCAGCCATCTTGGATTTTGATAGTGAAAGTTTGTTATCGATATTTCTCGGGAAGTACTAGAGGGATGTTTCTCAAATTTTAAATGAAGGTTCCCCTTGATCCCTCAGTGTGTATGTTATATTTTGAGACTGATCATAAAAACAAAATGGATTAAAAGAAGAACTAAACAGATCTTTCTCATATTGTAATGATCGATTCTATTTCTTTCACATTAAGTACTGTACTAGTAAATATGTGAAATGACAAACTCACTTTGAAGGCTGGCTTTCATACACATCAGTATTAAGTTTAGATCAAAAGATACCTCAAGGTGTATTTACTGTTAACATGACTCGATCAAACAGATTAGAGGAAAGAAGAGAAAAGATCGAACTGACAAAGAACTAATGAAGATGGTACAAAGGTGGGCGCCAAGATCCCTCTGGGATCTCTTGTTATTTTTTTTAGATGTATCAGCATACCAACGATGATTGCAGCCACAATAATATTGGGATATGCTCTAGACAAGCAGTATGTCACATATTTCGTTTTCTATTTAAGGTCAAAGGTCAAAATGTACATCACAGTGACTTATGCGTAGCACTTTGCCTTCCTTAGATAATTGCACACAGAATACAGTTACTGATTATTTTTTTGATATTTCATATTTATGATGTTTTCATAAAAGTTTCAGGAGGCAAGTTTTCTTTTTTTTAAACGATTGATCAAAGCTAAGCTAAAGTCATGCTGTAAAATTAATTCCATTGTATATATGTAGTAACAGATTTTGGCAGTGGTACCGTCTCTGTCTAGAACCATGATTCTGATAAATCTTACCCTAGGTCCACCAAATTCTCTGAGCGTTCGCAGCTGGAATGGGTCAATATAGGCACCAGGGGGAAGTAACTCCAGTACCATCACATCACAGTTGGAAAAGTTTTTAAATAGAGATTTTCCAAAAGTGATCTTTGTTGTTAGCTCCCTGTAGATAAAAAATATTATAATATATCATGTAAATTAAAAACAAAATGGAAAAAGACATCATTTATTAATACATGTTATAGCCACACAAATTGTATGATTCAATCTTAAAACCTTAAGAAATCTTCACATTTTCTGGGGTGGCTCCTTGTCCATCAAAGATTCCCTTTAAACAAGTGGCCCATAGGGCCTGTATTACAAATCTGTTCCTTTTCCCCACGGAGAATTCCACTCTTTCTATGGACGATTGATGCCTGGTAGGATTTTGTTGAGATCCATATGTAATTGTATATGTTTATAGGGTGGGGATCTCAATCATTTCCATGTTTTGACCATTGGAACAAGTCCCTAAAAGAAGGGCCAGACCCCAGGGTCAATCCAAGTAGTATGACTGTTATTTATCTCTTCATGTCCTGCCCAACAAGTAGTTAAAAATGGTTAGAGGATATAGATCTCCAACATTCCCATTTAATGTCTCAGACACTAAGTCCCTAAGGGCAGAACTCGTGTCAGCATGAGTGTATGCTTCTTCAAGCCTAGCAACTTTCTATATGATTATAGGGTGGATATCTCAACCGTCTTCATGTTATGACTCAAGGATTAAGTTCCTCAGTATGGGGCTGGACCTAGAGCTGACCATGAAAGCATGACTGATGAGAGTATTGTCTCTTCAAGCCTAGCAACTGTATATTTTCGTAATAAAGTGGGGATCTCCACCTTTCCTATGTTATAATCCTGAGACAAACTCCCTAGTGCTCAGCTCAGTTCCTGGGCCCGTTCAAGCAAACCAATTGTTTTACATATAAGGTGATGGAGTGAGGATTTTGGCCATTCCCCAACCAAAAAGCCAATCTCGTAACGTCTCTTCATGTCCATGTAGTGAGGTTGAGATCCACAAATCTCCCCCTACTTCACCATAGGCCTGTACCTCGGTCCCCAGGAAGCCATTACCCAACCAAAAAACCAATCCTGTAATGTCTGTACATGCCTGTGATCCACCAATTTCCCCCTACTGGACCCTGCGTCTCAGTACCTATGAGGAACAAATCCTCCCTTTAAACATTTGATCTACTGGTCCTGGGGATACAGCATAGCACATTCGGTTGAGATCAAATCAGTTATTCAGGAAGAGTTAGATTTCAAAGGAAAAGTTTGACTGACAAAAGGACAGCAGACAGACAGACACTAGCTATACCTTCAGACCAGGTGAGCTAAAATATATACATTTATTTTGAATATTAAATACTCACCTATGAAAACCATTTTTTGTCAAAGATCGTTCCACTTTTGGCAATTCCACACCTTCAAATCCATGAAGTATCGGTACGATGATGACTAATATGTTTGTCAGAAAGTTCACAAGATTGTTCATTGTCATTTGCTTCCCCACTCAGTTACTGAAATTGATAAAAAGAAAATTGTAAGAGTTTCAAAAACAACATTCTACAACAGATATAATATTTCAAAACTGTTTCCAACTATGTTTAAAATATATGATTTATATAAGAATAGGCAATTTGCAGAATACTTTTGAAGTGGGACTGGACTGGGTTGATCACCAGTGACCAGGTTGCATAATTGGTTAGAGCGTTTGTCTAGTGTTTGGAGGTTCTGGGTTCGAATTTAGGTCTGGCCACTTCATTTTCCCATAGAAGGTGGTATAGGGTCTTTTGGGCATTCAGGGTCAAAGACTTTGTTGAAAGAGGGAAGAATGTATAGTGACACTTGACTGGGTTGATCTCCAGCGACCAGGTAAATCAACATATTTTATTATATCTTTTGTCAATAGTTCAGTTCAAATCCTGGACCATCCTCGATATTCAGGGGTTACACTCACTTTCGCTCTCTACACCCCTGGAATATGTCAAAGCAAAATTGAAGGCACGAAGATAGCTGTTTGATGGTCTTAGGTAAAAAAAAACCTGACTAATTGCTAGGCTGATACCTGTCCTTTGAAGATTACAAAGGAGAGACGCCCGACTTCAAAGCCTGTCAATTTTTACCGTTACGTGACCGCTGGACAGGCTGTTGCATCATTACCTCTTTCATGTGTATTGAAGAGGCAAAACGAATCAAGGAAATCAGAATAGGAGATAATATTAAAGGGTTTTACTAACAATTTTTTGCACCACAAGTGAAACTTTCCCTGTCAAGTAAAATCAACACATCATTTGTTCATCAATGGGAAAATCATTCATGTAATCAGAGACGTATAATACAAATCTCTGTATTATACGTCTCTGATGTAATAAACTTAGGTGGCTTCCCCTTTTTTACTGTTCTGACTAAAATATCAATACAATTGTACCTCTGATATTTAAGATTGATAGGGATCCACTAAGATGAAGAAAAAACAAGTTCTGAGATTTGAAAAAATATGCAATGGGGATAGACTGGGATTTTAAGGTTAATTAAGACATTTCAGTACTCTGTCTTTTTGGTATTATACGATGTTTCAGTATACTTGATGTTAAAAGATATATTGGTATGCTTTGATAATTTACAGGATTATCGGCACTTGAATTTACTTTTAAAGTTTGTACATCGTATGCTTTTGTGATCTGTGTGTTACTGATTTTATATTTTCAGTTTTCATGTTTTCAGTGGACATGCTCTAACCATTTTGATCTACCTGGTCACCAGGAGTTCCCTCAGGGCTAAGGTTCACTACAGTAATATCCATAAAAAGAAATGAAGGGGGAATTATTGCATGTAAAAAAAAAAGTCCAGCAGAATTACTAATGTTTAGTCGGCAATGGTACAGGAATCCTTAAATTAAAACAGCAAGCACCTGTTTAATGTTTGTTATGTGTTTGAATAAAGAGTATAGCTGGTTGTCATGACGACATTTTGTTTATAATGTATTAATGTTATAGGTGTATTTATCCATCATGGTCTGTGACTGAAACAATTAGGCCTAGCATCACAATACATCAAGTTAGTCGTTTTACCTGATTTTTGTTACCCGGGCTATTTATATTGAGGTATACTTTTTGCGTATTCACAATTTTAAAATAATTGTTCATTTTAAAGAATTTAATATAATCTACATGCGATAAACGGAGGGTTTTATATTGATTTGTGAGTAAATGATAACCGAATTATATCTTATCATATTTTACTACGTCAATTTCTAGAAAACGGGGCTATATTTCAGAGGGGTAGATAAGTAGGTGAACACATTATCGACTTCCGGTTACTCAACTGCACTTTCGTCGGATAAACAAAATGTAAATTTAGCAATTATCAAACGTTCCACCGTAGTATGTATCGTATGTAAGTATGGTATGAGTAACATGCTTAATCCTGTGTGAGTTTGATAGTTATGTAGTGGTTTATTCAATCAGAACCCAAGTAGGACTTTGGCGTAGACAGGTCAAGAGGGCGCGTCTAATTACCCAATACTACCCAATACCACCCAATACTACCCCATACGATCCAGTTATGAACCAAATACTTTTTTATTACTGTGAAATATCACCTTTGTAGAAGTTATTTACTTCCATCTGCCATATTTTATCGGGAAATATGCGATTTGGTGCCGAAAACATCACCAAATTGCCGTGACTAGGACCCAATACTACCCAATACCACCCAATACTACCCCATACGACCCAGTTATGAACCAAATACTTCTTTATTACTGTGAAATGTCACAGTTATTTACTTCTATATGTCACATTCTATCTGGAAATATGCGATTTGGTGCAGAAAACATCACCGAAATGCCGTGACTAGGGGTTCGACGATTTACAGGAACGGGCAGGATCGGGCAGAAAACTATTAATTATTATATATACATTGATGAATATATATATTTAATTAGATACATTTAAGTATCATTATCGGGTATAAGATATATTTGATAAAAGAATTGCAATTACATGATACTATATTAATTCTATTCATGTCATAAAATGGTGTTATTAAGATCAACGGGTCATGATGCTGTCACCAAATGTAACGCATGGACAGGCTCTCATCCAGCCACTGACCATGTACACTCAATGTTGCTGAACTAGTAAGCAGTCACAGAATTATACCGCATGACTGGAAAAACTAGCTTGCCAGTAAGGCAGTATTTTCCCTTCTCTTTCCTTGGCTGTATATGTTAACGAGTATGAGGCACATCTTAGTCCTCCTAGCTTCCAAGTGCAATATTCGGAATAATGGCTGCAAATTCAATCAGGCTGTTTGTCATAGCAGTTGATCCTGGTAAGCAAATAGAACTCTGCAGGTGTGATGGTCACATATGGATGAAGCTTATTCCAGGGTTAGCTGTGGTCTTACAGCCCATCTGTATCTGAACAGTTCTGTTGGTAGGATCCAGTTCTGGTGTTACCCCAATATTTATCCAACAGGAGACAGCACAGGCTACACATTATCAAATAAGAGTTGTTTCCTAAAAGCATGTTCATGCTCTGCTGATTGAATTCTAATGTTTGATTGGTCTTGGGGATGAAATGATTAAAAATAAAAAAGAAGATAATGGCCATATGAAAATAGGTGTAACCATGTCTTTAATTCATCACAATAAGCAGGAACTAATTTTTCATTTTAAATCCTTAAATTACTATTTAACATATCAAACTGGAACTCTAGTTAAAAGAATTGTAAGAAGAAATTCAAATTCTCCCCGAAATTTTTGAATATAAATAATTAAAAAAATATATATTTGTCACCAGTTCAATTATTTTGTCTTATCTTTGTTGCAGGCTTTAAAAAAGTATGAAAAAAACTGTTTGAGCATTCTCTTGGAATAAAAATATAAAGATGGGCAGATCATCTTCAAAGCCGAAGAAACAGCCATCTCGAGTCACAGAACAGGACAAAGCTGTATTGGTAAAAAAAAAATACTTATATTTCTTACTTAGATTGACCTTAGTTTCTGTTCTGGAATTTTGTTTTATTTACAGTCATGCCTCACAAAAAATATGTATGTATACATGTATGCTGGTCATGTGAGCCCATCAGATCATATCATTTACGGTCTAAGGGGAAATAACTCCATTCCAGCTATTTGTTTTGTCAGAAATCATGAAGTCTGAATAAGTTGTCTGGCACATGCACAAAATAAGTCGAGGGTTTTGCCTATGTTGATGTATTTTGTCACAGTCAAGAATATAGAGGTTATTATTAAGTTGTTTTTTTCCCCTTTTTTGATACAGCAACTTAAACAACAAAGAGATAAACTGAGACAGTACCAGAAGAAAATCCATGTACAGATTGAAAAGGATCGACAGGTGGCCAAACAGCTACTGCATGATGGCAAAAAGAGGTACACATTGTCTTTTATAACAGTTTACACATACATGAATGTATTTATAAGGAAGCAGTTTAGACAGTCTTCCTCAAAATTCCAGGGGTTATGCTCACTTACGTTCTCCTTACTCCTGAAGTATGTCATGACAAAATCTGGAAATTCGAGGATGGACTATAGAAGAAAAAGAAATTGATTTTTTCCAACGAAAAAAAAAGATTTTGTGAAAAATTATATTTTCTTTCAGTTCTTTTTTATTCGCTTTTTAGGTTACCTGACCATAGGTCATGGTAACCTATTGTGATAGCCTTTTGTCCATCGTCGTCCGTCGTGCGTTAACCTTTCCTTGTGAACACGATAACTTCAGTAAATATTAACCGAGTTTGATGAAACTTAGTATGCAGCCATATATCAATAAGATCTCGGACAAGTTCGAAAATGGGAATTATTGGACCGTAACTTACAGAGTTATTGCCCGTTGTAATAATATTATTATTGGACCTTGTGAACACGAAAACTTACGGAAATGTTAACCAAGTTTGATGAAACTTTGTATGCAGCCATATATCAATAAGATCTCGGACGAGTTCGAAAATGGGAATTATTGGACAGTAACTAACAGAGTTATTGCC